GTGTGTGTGTGTGTGTGTGTGTGTGTGTGTGTGTGTGTGCATGTACACTCAGGAGAGTGTGTTGGGAGGGAGGATGTTTTAGTTACTGTGTTATTACTGTGAAGATGACCAAGACAACTCCTATGAAAGAAAGCATTTAACTGGGGCTTGGTTACATTTTCAGAGGTTTAGTCCATTGTCATCGTAGCAGGGAGCATATCAGCATGCAGACACGTGTTGGAGAGATACCTAAAAACTTCCTTAGGCAGAAAGACAGACAGACAGACAGAGAGATAGGTAGGTAGATACATAGAGAGAGATCCTAGGCCAAGTATGGGGTTTTGAAACCTCAAAGCCTCCCGCCCCCCCCCCCCCTGCCCTGTGGTGACACATTTCCTTCAAGAAGGGCACACCTCCTAATTCTTTTCAAATAGGGCCACTCACTGACTAAACATTCAAATATATGAGCCTAAGGCAACCATTCTTTTTTTTTTTTTTTTTTTTTTTTTTTTTGAGACAGGGTTTCTCTGACGGCCATTCTTATTCAAACAACCACAGAGTAGCCTGTACAGCTCAGACAAACAGAACAGAGTATGGGAATGGGAGGACACCTGAAGATTCAAGGACAAGTCCCAGAATTTCTAAGTTCCACGTCCACACATGACTCAGACAAGAGAGCTGCCAGCCATGACTTTCCTGCTGCTGGTTAGTGCTAGACCTTTTCCCAGAAACCTGGGTGGACCCAATCTTCTATCAAGTCCTGATGTTACTCCAGCAGTCCCCTAAACAGGGACAGTGATGGCAGGTCCAGCTGCCTTTTCTTAAACCCTGCCATGGAAGCACAGCTGCTCACTAGGAGGCTTGCTGGCTTGAAATCAGCCTGTCTTTATAATTCCTTGGTTGCACTGAACTCTTTTGGATCACATAACTGTCCAGGACTCTGATTAATAACTCCAGTTCCTCCTGACCTTGGCCCACCAGCAGACCCTCACAGTACTGAGAGTAAATGCAAGTTTCTTTCTGGCCCATCTTTGATGCCCTGTCCAGGCTTTCTTTGAACCATCCCTTCTTGACTTAGAATAGTTCACCTGTAAACTCTCTGAGATGTTCCGTTATCTCTGTTCCTGGGTCTGAAATTATTTTGCTTATGGATTTTACCTCCTTCAAGTACCTTTTCCAAGTATGCTACTCCAAGAGAGACCTCCTATCCCTTGAGCCACTCTACAGTGGGGACTTTCATTGGATATCACATTGTCTCAAAGAGTAAAATGGGGATCTTGGGAAATAAAAAACAACTTTTTATCCATAAAGCACAAATACACATACTTAACATATATACATATACATACACACATGCATGTGCACACACACACACACACACACACACACACCCACACACACACCCACACACACACCCACACACACACCCACACACACACCCACACACACACCCACACACACACCCACACACACACCCACACACACACCCACACACACACCCACACACACACCCACACACACACCCACACACACACCCACACACACACCCACACACACACCCACACACACACCCACACACACACCCACACACACACACACACACACACACACACACACACACAACACACACATCATTAAAATTTCATGGAGGTGGAGAAGGTCTGAAAAAGGTCCTTAGAGAGGCAATGATGCAAAGAGTTTGGCAAACACTTCTATGTGGGAACTAAGTGCCTCCCTCCCCCAGTGTCCCCCTGCTACCACTTGAATCTGCAATGTCCCCCACAGGCTTGTATTCCAGATGTTTGTTCCCAGGCCAGTAATGCTATTTTAGGAGGCTAGGTCCATCTGGTAATTACTGGTCAATAGAGGTGGGCCCTGGCTCTGGCATTGCTCTCTGCTTCCTTGATCAATCTATGATATGATTAGCCAATCCCACACTCTTCCACCACCATGATCTGAGATGCTCTGCCATGTCTTCCCCTCCACAAAAGATGGAATGCTTCTGAAATGGTGTCCCTAAGTGACACTTTCATCCCAGGTTGTCAGGTAGTGTGGTCATTGTGATGAAAACATAGTTAACATATGCCCTCCTAGGAGCTTATTACAAGCGGCAAGTTTTCTGCCTGCCTTTGCCTACTTTAGTATTTTCTGTTCCTTCAACCCTTGGATAAAAGCTTTGTAAAACCCAGGGATATTATCTATCTATTCTTCACTGTATCTTCAGCATCTCCCCTAAACTGTGCATACAATAATTATTCAGCAGAGTGTTTAGCAACTCTATCACTACCATGAACAAGGAATGGTGTCAAATTCTAGGAAAACTCCTTGGGCCATCTGGACCTCCTCTCAGTTTTTAAACCCTCAAAAGCTACCAGATTTGTGGGTCTCTGGGCACTGAGTTTAAACATAAGTCTTCTATGTGCCACAGGGGTGGGAGTTTGTCCTGATTATTCCTGTTTTTCTCTAGCATGCCACTATGAATACCATACGGATATCTGTTCATTAAATTGAAAAGATTTTCAATAAAATGATGACAAGAGGCTAACCATCTTGGCAATTACACAGGACAAAGAACACATTATCGTCTGATTTACTTTAAGCAATAAATTGAATCACAATGAGCATCTGCAATAGAAAAAGGTTGGGAAGGAAGGAAGCTGGAATATTAACTGCATTATCTTTCTCTGGAATGTGGGCATGCAGTTTGTTTTCTACTTATGCTAGGTTGATTTAGGAATGCCCTGTACTGAATATTGATTTCGGTTATCACAACAAACCAGGACTTTGGGTGGCTATTCTTTTGTTGTTGTTGTTGTTGTAAAGGGTGTCCACAATACTTCAATATTAGGATGACATATATGGGTATAGTTCAAGTTCACTGGTCTAGGAACAGTTAATCTGAAGGCATGGTTATGCTTCACCCAATTCCATCACACATAAACTTCTAATTCACACAACTTAGTGTTTGCAACTTAGGTTGCAATGGTTTCTGTGACTCCCCAAAGTTTAAAACCACTTATTCCAGGGCCAAGGAGATGGCCCAGTAGACTATATGCTTGCTGTGCAAGCATAAGAATATGAGTTAGGAGCTGCAGCATCCATATATAAGTTGAGCATGATGGTGTCCATCTGTAACCCCAGTACTGGAGTTGGGAGAGGGAAGTGAGGCAGATCTGGGGAGCGCTGGCCAGAAGTCGAGCCTAAATTCCATTCTCCAAGTTCAGTAGGTGACTATCTCAAAATACAAAGTGGGGCATGATAGAGGAAAACAATTAATTTTGATGTCTGGCCATCACACATACATATAAGGATGAGTGTGCCACACATGTGTGCACATACTCACACACACACCCCTCATACACAAATACACATCCATCCATCAACTATTTCTTCCATATGACCTCATCCATGAAAATAATGCGAAACAAATGAACAACACAACTCATGCCAACTTAAGCATTTTCCAAGGCCTCATGACTGAGAGAGATCTGAAATATCACCCCAAACCCAGGCCACATGCTTCTTTTATTCTCACAAGAAACTGTCATGACTGACTTCCTATGTGCTCTACCCTTCTCTTGTCCTGAAGGATTTCTAGGATTTCATTGAAGACTTCCTCCCTCCTTGAGTGCCATATGAACCAAACCAACCAGTTCCTTCCTACTGTAGCATCCTTGAAGGTTATTTTGTTCACACTTCAAGAATGCATTCAAACACTAGAACTTTTGTCAGATCTGTCATCAACAACGACAACACCACAGCAGCAAAACTCCTAAATCAGTTCAACACCAGACCCAACACAATTTCAGTGTCCACAATGACAGCTGACAATGTCTCAAAGGAGCATAAACTGTCCAGTGTTTGCAAACAAATCATTTCCATCTATGAGCTACCTGGATCTTGATCTCTTATGTATCCATACAGTGACAATATTCATGACATTCTAACAATGTGCACACCCTTATGTAATCAAGGTGAACCGGATGTATCCATCCAAATTTGATGTCTTACCCAGGAATAAAGGGTTTATGTAGAAGTGCTGGAGGCACTTGGTTTGAAAGTCTCTTGGGAACTTGATGTGGTCCTTATACCTAAAGCACCATGACCCAAGTATGCCAAACCTGTGGGCCATGTGTGACCAAGGATAGCTATGAATGTGATCCAATGAAAATCATGCATGTACATAAATGCTATGAATTTTTTTGGTGATTTTCTTCTTGATGCTCAACTATATATTTCTTGAGTGTGAACCTGGTAGGTGACAATTTGATGTCAGAAGCTTGGGTTCACTACTTTAGACTTTTGCTTAAAACAAACTGGAGAAAATGGTTTTTGTAAAAGATTATCATGGATGCCCCAATTCCTAAAAATAAACCAAGAAGGTTGCTTGCTTACCTCCTCCAGGGCCCATAAAGAATCCACCACAGGCTTGATCTTCTTCTGGTTGTACAGCCCAATGAGCTTCTCGACCACTCCCCGGATGAGGCCTGAGCGGCCCTGTTTGAAGAGCAGGTTGAGGAGTGAGAACCCTGCAATGACTTTGTTTTCTTCATACAGCTTGATGGGGTTCACTTTCTCTACCTGCCACCACTGCAATTAGAGAAGATTCTAGGTTACGAAGTCTGAAGACTGGGCTACAATGTGCAACATTGACTATATCATGAGCTATCATCTACTCCAAGGAAGCCAGGTTTGAAACTGGGTGGATTCTGGTGGACGAGCAAGCAGTCTTGGTGATTTGTCTTTTAAGCATCTATCTCTGGAACCACAGCAGTTGGCGCAGAGGATATACTAGACAGCAATGCTGTGAGACAGCTTTAGCTTGGAGAGAGAGAGAAAGAAGACTGGGCATTCCTTATTCCAAAATCTCCACTCTAAAAATGCTTCACAAGCCATATCTGTTTGAATACTAACATAATACCACAAAGGGACACTAAAAATACTGTCTACACTGGGAATGTAGCTCAGTTGGGACAGTGTTTGCCTAGTACATACAAAATTCTGGGTTTAAATTCTAGAAAAACATAGAGTGAGCATTGTGGAGGTGGATGCTTGTAATCCCAGAACTTTGGAAATAGAGACAGGAGGGAAATCCTTGTCACTGTCAGCTAAATAGTGACTTTCAGAAGGCACGGTAGAGGTGACCACCACGAATGCAAGAACATCTTTTAAATTTTTTTTTCTAAGAGGGTGAGTCAGGGAAGAGTAATGAAAAGGCTACTGGAAAGGTAGGTAGAAAGGAAGGGTAAGTTAAGAAGAGAGCACAGCACGGATTGATAAATCCAAGTGTAAATGGCTCTTGTGTGGGTTCAGCATTTGATATGTGACAAGGATTTTATGGTCAGATGTACTGCTCCTCTTGAGCTGTCTCATCCCCAGCACTGCTAAATGTGATTCAGTGAAGAATTCCATGTATGTGGCTATGGGTGTAGCTCAGTTTGTAGACTGTATGCCTAGTATGCAGGAACCCTGGTTTTGCTCTCCAGCACCACATAAAATTAGATATGGTGGCACCTGCCTAAGGGCTTCCTGTTTATTTGCAAACTGTTTTCCCTTACTTTTGCTCTCCTAGCATGTGTATCCCCAAAATAAAAATTCACAATCTTGGGCCCCAGAATTAAGCTTGCTACCTACACATCTGTAGGACCTCAGTGAATGTTTGTGTAATGCAAGCCAGCTGATGTTACAGCCACTGCACAGCTGTGACGAATAGCTCTAGAGATGGCTCAGTGCCTCAGTGCCGGGAAGTGCTTGTCACAAGGACTGACAACCTGAGTTTTATCCTTGGGACCTACATGGTGAAGGTAGAGAAGTGACTTCTGCAAGTTGTCCTCTGACCTCTTCACACATACCATGCCAGATGTACACACACACACACAAAAAAAAAAAATATTTAACAAGTATATTTAAAATCTTCTTTTAAATGTCTAGAGCTGAGTGTCATTTGCTAGTTGTGTAACTAGTCAATTCACCTAACCTCTCTGTGTTCAGTTTCCTTATTATAACCTGGGGAGAGGGAGGTTGCCATAGAAAGCAAATGTGCTCATATAAGATCTATGCCATTACATTCATGTGAATATATCCCATGCTCCATATGTATAAATAAATTTAATTGTCCTTTTAATCTGAAAGCCATGTTTGAGATTTATTGAGCAAGAAGCAAGAGCTTGGAATTTGGCTGCTCCCTAAATGTTAACTTCATCTGTAAGAATCACCCTTGTAACTTTGGGAGCCCATCCCACATAGAGGGATACTCCCTGATCCTAGAAACACGGGATAGGCCTAGGCCCTATCCCAAAGGATATGACAGACTTGAAGGACCCCCTATAGAAGGCCTCACCCTCCCTGGGGAGAAGAAATGGTATGGGATAGGTAGGGTGTTAGTTGGGGGGCAGGAGAGGAGGGGAAGGAGAGGGAACTGGAATTGACATGTAAAACAATCTTGTTTCTAATTCAAATAAAAAATTTAAAAAAAAAAAGCTGGGTGTTGGTGGCACATGCCTTAATCCCAGCACTTGGGAGGCAGAAGCAGGTGGATCTCTGTGAGTTTGAGGCCAGCCTGATCTCCAGATCGAGTGCCAGGATAGGCTCCAAAGCTACACAGAGAAACCCTGTCTCGGGAAAAAAAAAAGAATCACTCTTGTAATGGCCCAAGATCGAACAGCAAGTCTGACAAAGTATAAAGAATTCACTCAGCTGAAATCTTAAGATGGAGCATAATTAAGATATCAGAGTGAGAACTCTCTATAAGATTCTAAATGTGCCTTTCTTGATTGCATAGGATATTTTTTCCTGGAGAAAAGCCAACAATGCACTTCTCAGAAAACCTTCTCTTCAATTTACTTCTAACCAATCAGCTTGCATGGTCCTGGGCCTCTGGGCTTTTATTCATGACCTTCAGCTCCAGAGCACAAAGGTACTCATCTGAGGAAGAGTCTCCATCCTGGCTGTGTTGTTATAAATACCTCCTCTAGCATGGGCACACTGTAATTATTTCATTAGTACTGAGTGTTGGGATTGGGCATTAAGGGTGAGAAAAGGGAAAACATTTCTTACGGTTGTATGTAATTTGGGACCAGCACAATTCCTTATAGCAGTCTTTCAGCGTCATGCAAATTGTATCCACAGCAACAAAACAGCTATTAGTGGTACAAAGCCTGTCTGCAGGGACAGACAGTAGATAGCATCCTTCCAGAGGCTCTATCCTTGTTCCTACAGGCACTGAAGTTCAAATGACTCCTGGACTTCACTTTTATTAAAATCCCGTATGCAAACAATGCAAAAAATGAGTCCTTTAATTTCTGATCTCACATACAGAAGGAATACTGTCATCCCCCAATTCAGCAGATGTTCTTTGAGGGTAAAATTTGGGCTGTCCAGATAAATATTCCTGGCATTTTTAATACTTGACAGCCTCCAAAATCATCTTGGAGTCAAATCCCTGGGTAAGTGGGGGAATTTCTAGACTGGGCTAACTGAGATGGGAAAACCCTTCCAAAATGTGACCAATACAACTCCATTGTGATATATGGAGAGTGAATTCTAGTGTCTGTTCCCTGGCTCTGTCACCACCCTGTTCACAATGCCTCTACCTCATCCTGCCTCCTTCCAGAATCCCTTTGAGGTTGGATGGGCATTCACAATCCAGTTATTAACACATTTCCTTATTGTTGGGTATATCTCCTTAATAGAATGTAGGAGCCACAAGGGTCCTGAACACTTCTGTCCCATCCATGGTGATACCTTGATATCTTGGAATTCTACCCACAGTAGAGGCTCAGGAAATGCCTGTGTGGTAATGCTTATCATTATTGAGCATACTCCTCTGAGAGAAACAACTACCATTTTCATCCCTGACATTCCCTCAGAGAAGGAGAGGGTAGAGGGGATCATTGGGTCCTCACTTGAAATTGCAGATTACAGGCCATTTGTAATGCAATTTTGCCCTAATTGCATGGGGTCTAGCTGTATCAGAAGGTAATAGACAAACATGATCTTGGGAAGGCTAAAGGAAGGGGCTCCATTTATGTGGCCACGGGGAAGCCATCATCTAGCTGGTTATGAATTTCCCAGTGCAGCTGCTTTAGGGTCAGCTAAAGCACTCCCACCATTAATTACTCACCCACACTCCATTTGTAAGGGCAATAATGTTAGTGGTTCCTCTGGGTGAACTCTGATGGAATCATACTTTGGTTTCTTGTGAGAACCTTATGTGGGGGTGTCATTTACATCTCCACAGGGAAGAAATTCTTGCAACACTTATCTGGTGAATTGGCTGCACCAGAGACTGGGAGCATGAGGACAGAAGTTGAACAGTTGTGAGAAATAGTGGTCCCTTGCTCTAGTGGGTGGGGTAACAATCCCAACCCAGCTTAATGCCAACACATACAGACAGCTCTGAGCAGCTGCAGTGAGGGAGAACACCCCTCAATGTCAGACAAAGTCATCACACACTCAGAAATTATTCAAGTTAGGAGTTTCCCATTCCCATCTCCAACACAGTAGGATGGGGACACAGAAATCTACTGTTCCCCCAGAATCCTGGCCAGAAAATGGTCAAAATAAAAGACTGTTTACTATAGGGAACAATTCCAGTCCAGTAAATCTACGTTCACTTGTAACAGATAGTTGAACCAATCTCTACTGGAATAAAAAGGAAGCTTTTCAAAATTTTACTGACACCACCAACTTTCAAGTCCTCATCCGGCCTGTGTGCAGTTAGCAAGGTATGGAAATGGGATTTATTAGAATGCACAATGCAGATGACAGGCTAGCAATTGACCAATGTCTTTTTTGTTGTTGTTGTTTTTGTTTTTGCTTTTCTAGAGACAGGGTTTCTCTGTGTAGCCATGGATGCCCTAGAACTTACTATGTGGATCAGGTGGGCCTCAAACTCAGAGATCTGCCTGCCTCCACCACTGGGATTAAAGGTATGTGCCACCACTGCTTGGTGACCTATGTTTTTAGATGGAGCTCACAACATGCAAACGAATGTTAACCACCAGCTCACAGACAGGCACAGATACTTACTGACTTTGCAAAACTGAAGAAGCTCTTGGTCTCTCCAGTAACCATGTTGGATGATCCTGCAAACGAAAGATTCCCAAGTCAAGTAACTGTTCATTAAAATCAAGATATCTTTTTTTAAATCTTGAAATATTTGTATTTGAATTAGAAACAAGATTGTTTTACATGTCAATCCCAGTTCCCTCTCCCTCCCCTCCTCTCCTACCACCCACCCCCAACTAAAACTCTACCTATCATATATCCTTTCTGTTGCCCAGGGAGGGTGAGGCCTTCCATAGGGTGTCATCAGAATCTATCGTATCCTTCAGGATAGGGCCTAGGCCCACCCCTGTGTGTCTTGGCTCAGAGAGTATCCCTCTATGTGGATTGGGCTCCCAAAGTCCACCCTATGCTAGGGATAAGTACTGAACTACTACAGGAGGTCCTATAGATTGCCTAGGTCTCCTCACTGAAACCCACATTCCTGGGGGCTGGATGAGTCCCATTCTGGTATCCCAGCTATCAGTCTGAGGACCAAGAGCTCCCTGTTGTTCAGGTCAGCTGTTTCTGTGGGTTTCACCAGCCTGGTCCAAGATATCTTCTTATGGAAGAAGAGTGGCAGGTGTTTCATTTGTACACAAGTGGCAAAAGCTTACAAAAACATGCTTCAGTCTTGGATAAAGTAGAAGTGTTAGGGTGGGGCACAAAGTGGAACATTTGGCTAGGTGTCATCAACTCTTAGAGGAAGGGAGATTTCTCATGGTGGTTGTTTCATTCCTTTGGAAAACCAGGCATGTAGCAAAAGGTGATTCATTAGTCCAATGTTTTAATAATATGGGACATTTTGGTTATGTTGATTGAAAATAAGAAGTGAACTTCTGTAGGAAAGCAGTACATAGATCCAAATTTGATTTACTAGCAAGTGAGGGACTTAGGACTCTGACATGGGCTGGGTACTGAAGGGTAGGAGAAAAACTTGGATGCATACAAAAAATGAGATACAGGAAAGATGGAGGAGATAACAGTAATTTCAGAGATCCAAGGAATGTGTGACTATTTGTCAGCTCCAAAAGGTTCTAGGCAGAGAAGTTAAGAAACAAAACAAAACAAAACCTAAAACTTTAGGTAAAAGAATATTGGAAACCGTGTGATGACAACTGGGCCAAGTGACACTCAGATACCAGATGGAGGGAAAGATGAGATGAGATGCTCAGAGGGAAATGACCCCTGTGTAGGGTTCCCAACGGGGATGTGGTGAGAAGAAGAAACTCTTGACAATAGAGAGAACATCCTGAGGCACAGCCCCTCTCAACAGACATTCCCCATTTGGAATCATAATTTTTCTTAGAGAACAGTCATTTACTTTAAAAATTGCATATTTTAGAATTAACCATTTGATCTGGCTAAACTCTTTCCCAATCAGTTAACCATTCCTTTATCTTTGATGGGGTAATGAGTCCCAGGAATCATAGTGTCAGGCTTCCATTACATAGTAACCAAGTGATCAATGTAATTACTTGGATAATTGAGAGATAATCAAGTTGAAGTTCACCCAAATGACATGATGGAATTGAGGCAAAAATATAACTCCTGGCTAATGAAAAGGAAGGATGAATAAATTGTCCATCTGCCTTCTGTTAGTCACATCCGATGTTCTTATAATGATATTGACCCTTGTAGGTTTTTCCATTGATAATATTAGCTAATTATTTACTTCTTGGGAAATAGGTGGTCAGGATAGAAATGACCAGAGCATGTCAGCAAAGGAGTGTTGCTCACCTGCTTGGTGAGCTCAGTTCTTTTGTAATAATGATCTGATGAGGAGAAGATATTTATAATCCCCAAAAATCACTTTTATAAAGAGAATTTACTTCATTTTTTCCTTCTGAAATACTCAGATTTAAGGCTCATTTCTGATGCAAGGACAGGACAGAGAGGTTTAAGGAATCTCAAACATCAGATACCCCAAAACTCTGATTTGGAAGATGGCCTCTGGCTTTCTATACACCTTTTGGAATTTGTGGAGACCAAAGTTTAAATTTGTTTGTGTGTGTGTGTGTGTGTGTGTGTGTGTGTGTGACAAGAAGGTCAGGCACTAAAGTTTCATTTTGATAGAGAAAATTTGCTTCTAATCTTCATAACTTTCCTGTACACTCAAGAACATAGTAGATATGGCCAGGCATGGTGGCTCACACTTATAATCCTATCACTGAAGAGGCTGAGGCAGTAGGATTATGAGTGCAAGGCAAGCCAGGGCTATTCAAACAAAACAAAACATTTAAAAATGACAGTGTATGGGATAGGGCAGTAGGCAATAAGTTAGTTAGTTTTGTAATTTATGACAACAGTATCAATATAATAAGCATACTAAAAAATCCCGACACTCCAAGTTTGTCCTTTACCCAGGATATTAACACTTTTCACCTTGAAGACTGTGGTAAGCATAGTGGGGTGTTTTCTGATGTTTTTCATCTTAGCCCATTGTGTATGCACTCACCATATAAAATGTAGGTCCCCAGAGGTTTGAGGAGACTGAGCCCCTTGCCAGTGTTGTCCCCACACAGGCAGTCCAAAACAATGTCCACACCTTCAGCAGAGATCCTGCACAGAAAGAGACGAGGCAAAATAATGTATTGGTCAGGAACCAAACTCTTGAGTCTTTGTTTTCCATGTCATATCATCTAGTGTCCAGAATAAAACGAGTGAACACTCTAGGGCCATCTGTTTAACTACTGTCATCCCTGACTTCCTGAAGATGCCTTCGATAAGTCCTCTGTAAGATGAAAATACCTCAAGTTAAATTTTTGTTGAATTCATCTAACCTGATATCTGACATAGCTAAGCAGTGCAATACATTGTAGCATGCCAAAGATTTACCCCCATGTTCACATGGCTGCTTTGACACTGCCCCACCTCTAGCATCACAGAATATTATAAGACACTTTGGTAGCCCAGGAAGAACTCAAAATCAATATCTGAAATATAATGTCTATGGATGTCACTGCTTAAAAAAATGTCCTGGACCAAACCACCATGAGTCAGGCACTATCTGTACAAGTATTTCACAAAGTTTGGACAGCAAAATATCTCTCCAAAGAAAAACTCTGGAGTAGAATAATGAAGAGGAAATTGTAGTCAGAAGGTTGGTCCCATTAACCTTCCCTCACAAAAGGAAGAAGGTTGGCCAGCCACTTGCCTGAGATTCTAGCTGCTCCCTTCCATCTGAGACATTGTCTTTGTGGTGCTACAGTATTTAGGAGACTTAATATTGACTGGGGTGGGAACTGCAGAGTTCCAAATTTTGTGTGTTGCCATGTATGGTAGGGTAGGCTTTTTGATGATATGGATGCCTGAATACTACCATGTTTTAGAAGTAATGGCTTACCAAAGTGCCTGTAAGTAAACTCCCTCCACAAAAAAAATTAAACTCTTGGTTTACCAATCAGACATGGATAGGATTTATTTCTTTAGTCTTTCACCTATCTTGGTGAATGAGCATTCCTGTACATTGCTCCTCATGAGGGGTTATGCAATTTGTGGTTTTGTTGAATTCTAACATTAAAGCATGGTGGTCTGATAAAATACAGGGGGTTATTCCAATTTTTTGTACCTATTGATGTTTGCTATATTGCCGAGTATGTGGACAGTTTTAGAGAAGGTTCCATGTGGTGCTGAGAAGGTATATTCTTTTGTGTTTGGAAGAAGTGTTCTATAGATGTCTGTTGAACCCAATTGGGTCATAACTTCTATTAGTTCCTTTGTTTCTTTGTTAAGTTTTTGTCTGGTGGTCCTGTCTAGTGGTGAGAGGGGGTGTTGAAGTCTCCCACTATAAGTGTGTGAGGTTTTATTGTGATTTGAGTTTTACTAATGTTTCTTTTATGAATGTGGAAGCCTTTGTATTTAGGGCACAGATGTTCAGAATTGAGGCTTCATCTTGATGGATTCCTGTGATGAATATGAAATGATCTTCTGCATCTCTTTTGATTGACTTTAGTTTAAAGTCTAATTTGTTAGATATTAGGATTGCTATACCTGCTTCTTTCTTGGGCTCATTTGATTAGAAAATATTTTCCCAACCCTTAACTCTGAGGTACTGTCTGTCTTTGAAGTTGAGGTTTGTTTTTTTGTATGAAGCAGAAGGATGGATTCTGTCTTATCCATAACAGATAAGGAATTTAAATAGATCTATAACCCCCAATGAAATAGAAGCAGTCATCAAAAGCCTCCCAACCGAAAAAAAGGACCAGGGCCAGATGGCTTCAGTGCAGAATTCTACCAGAAATTCAAAGAACAGCTTACACCATTTCTCCTCAAAGTATTCCACACAATAGAAGCAGAAGGGTCATTGCCAAACTCTTTTTATGAGGCTACAATTACTTTGGCACCCAACCACACAAACACATAACTAAGAAAGAGAACTACAGACCAATATCCCTCATAAACATTGATTCAAAAATACTCAATAAAATACTGGCAAATTGAATCCAAGAACACATTTGAAAAATAATCCACCATGATCAAGTAAGCTTCATCCCAAGCATGCAGGGATGGTTCAACATACAAAAATCCACCAATGTAATCTACCATATAAACAAAAAGAAAAAGAAAAATCACATGATCATCCTACTAGACGCTGAAAAAGCCTTTGACAAAATCCAACATGCCTTCATGATAAAGTTCTTGGAGAGATCAGGAATAACAAGAACACACCTAAACATAATAAAAGCAATATACAGTAAACCAACAGCCAACATCAAACAGAAACTCAAGGCGATTCCTCTAAAATCAGGAACAAGATAAGGCTGTCCACTCTCTCCATATCTCTTCAATATTGTATTTGAACTTCTACCTAGAGCAATTAGACAACAAAAGGAGATCAAGGGGATACAAATTGGAAAAGAAGAAGTCAAACTTTCACTATTTGCAGATGATATGATAGTTTACATAAGTGACCTGAAAAACTCCACCATCGAACTCCTACAGCTGATAAACACCTTCAGCAAAGTGGCAGGATACAAGATTAACTCAAAAAACTTAACAGCCCTATTATATACAGATGATAAATGGGCTGAGAAAGAATTCAAAGAAACATCGGTCTTTACAATAGCCACAAACAACATAACATACCTTGAGGTAATGCTAACCAAACAAGTGAAAGACCTTTATAACAAGAACTTTGAGTCTTTAAAGAAAGAAATTAATTCTGGAAATTTCCATTTCCAGAAAATGGAAAGATCTCCCATGCTCTTGGATAGGTAGGATCAACATAGTAAAAATGGCAATCTTGCCAAAAGCAATCTACAGATTCAATGCAATCCCCATCAAAATCCTAGTACAATTCTTCACAGACCTTGAAAGAACAATACTCAACTTTATATGGAAAAACAAAAGACCCAGGATAGCCAAAACTACCCTGTACAATAAAGGAACTTCCAGAGGCATCACCATCCCTGATTTCAAGCCTATTATAGAGCTATAGTCCTGAAAACAGCATGGTATTGGCACAAAAATAGACAGGTAGACCAATGGAATTGAATTGAAAACCCTGATATTGACCCACACACCTACAAACACCTGTTTTTGGCAAAGAGGCTAAAATTATACAATGGAAAGAAAGAATTTTCAACAAAAGGTGCTGGCATAACTGGATGCTGGCATGTAGAAGACTGCAGATAGATCCATGTCTATCGCCATGCACAAAACATAAGTCCAAATGGATCAAAGACCTCAACATAAATCCAGCCAACTGAACCTCTTAGAACAGAAAGTGGGAGGTACCCTCGAACAAATTGGAACAGAAGACAGGGGGAGAGGAGAACATGAGGGAGCAGGAAGATTGAGTCGGGGGAAGAATAGAGGAGAGCAAGAAAAGAATACTATAATAGAGGGAGCCATTATAGTTTTAAAGAGAAATCTGGCACTAGGGAAATTGCCAGAGATTTACAAGGATGACACCAACAATCTAAGCAATAGTGGAGAGGCTACCTTAAATGCCCTTCCCCTATAATGAGATTGATGACTACCTTATATGCCATCCTAGAGCATTCATCCAGTAGCTGATGGAAGCAGAAGCAGACACCCACAGCTAAACACCAAGCTGAACTCCTGAAATCCAGTTGCAGAGAGGGAAGAGTGATGAGCAAAGGGTCAAAACAAGGCTGGAGAAACCCACAAAAACAGCTGACCTGAACAAAGGGGAGCTTATGGACTCCAGACTGATAGCTGGGAATCCAGCATAAGACCTATCCAGACACCCTTAAAGTGGGTGTCAGCTAGGAAGCCTGAACAATCTATGGGGCCTCTGGTAATGGATCAGTATTTACCCTAGTACATAAATGAACTTTAGGAGCCCTCTCCTCCTACAGGGATACTTTCTCAGCCTAGACACACAGAGAAGGGCCTAGGCCCTGCTCCAAATGATAAGACAGACTTTGAAGATCCCCCATGGAGGGCCTTACCCTCCCTGGGGTGCAGAAAGGGGATGGGATAAAGGGTTTGTGGGGGGCAGGGAAGGAGGGGAGGAGAGGGAACCGGGATTGACATGTAAAACAAGCTTGTTTCTAATTTAAATTTAAAAAAGAAATAAATTTTACATTTTTGAGTTAGAGTGATAGTTTGGCAGGTAAACGTGCCAATCATCAAACCTGACAAGCTGAGTTCAAGCCCAGTGAGTCACATGGTGGGAGGAGAGAACTGACTTCCTCTACAAGTTATCCTCTGACCTCCACACACAGAGTATGGCACACACCCTCCATTAATAAATAAATAACAAATAAATACATGTAATAAAATTTTCCACATGCAATACCTGCATTTATTTATAAGTTACAGTATGATATTTTGGCACATGCACACAAATCAGAATGAGCAAAGAAATCCAGGTAATTAGCACACCCCCTCATCTCAACCACTACTTATTCCAAGGTTGCTTAACTGGAAGCTGTTTGCTCACCCCCCCCTCATGGGGTGATGGACAGAGAGGTTACACATTGCCATGATATGGGGGATATGGCAGGCAGCTGTTAACTACATCTAGTACATACCATTGCAAGGGATGGCCTCCAAACACAGAATGACTCCAAGTGTACACAGTGTTAAGAATAAAGAGCCCTGATCTAGCCTGTTCCTGCCACCTCAGCATCTCACACAGCCACAGCCTTCAAGTTGGGTGGCTTGGTTCCCTCACTGACCCAGGGGTGAGTCACCCCAATTGCCTTAGGGAGCATGTGCACAGATGATAGAAAGTTTAAATTCTGAAAGCAGGCCATGTGTGGCAAGTCCCAGTGCATGTAAGTCTGTAAACACTATTTAAACCTTCTGTACCTTGGCTTCTCCCTAAAGAAATAAGAACAGTGTCCACATCATCAAATTTGCAAAGGCCTAAAATAAACGAGCTTCCATGTGTGCTTTGGGCTTTCAGTCAGACATCACTTCCGTATGTTCCCAAATGCCCTGGCTGTCTCTATTTGGTGTTGATGCCACTGCTTATCACATTAACTGTGACTAATAGTTTTGACATTTTAGGACAAAGGGATACGTGTGCCTTGGTCACCATTGTGTTTGCATAACATATTTTTAAGGCATCAATAAAAAGTAATAAAACATGAATGCATAAACATAAGGTCTTAAACAATATCGTGTACCATTTCCACCAACTGTTTGATTTTGAAGGCAGCCTTATTGAGATATAGTTGATGGCAATAAATAGGACAGATTTAAAACGTGCAGTGCATAGTTCAATGAGTCGTGGCAGTCCACACCAGTGAAACCAAAGTCCATACCAGAGAAATTACTCAAAGTGATGGATACATTCTTCCAGCTCAAATGTTTCCTTGGGTCACCTTGCAAACTCTAAAGAGTTGGGGAAAACTGAGCGCACACATTGGGAAGGTAAATTTGGACCTAAGCTTTGGTCTTCTCATCTGTGAAGTGGAGGGCATTTGTTTAAGATGCTTGTGAAGTGGTTATCTAAGTGAGCAGAGGCTGACTGAGCATGGTCTTCTTACCTTCTCTGCCCTGTCCCAGCTCCCCTGAGGCTCATTCCCACACCCCCTCCTGCTGAAATGCTTTACAACCTTCCGGGGGCCATGGGGCTATGTTGACCTTCTCTATGCAATTCCACCCCCCTCTCTTTATTTAATTTCTGAAGGCCTTTGAATCAGATGCACAGCCCTCAAGTTTTCTAACTGGTCCATTTCCATCCACTGTCATCTTCTTTTACACATAGATAAGGAAACCAATGCAAAGACAAAGTCTACATCAGAGTAGTTGTTTTTCACCAGGTTCTGGAGATAGCTCAGCTGTTAAAGTTCATTCCTCACAAGCAATGGGAGCTAAGTTAGGCTCCCTAGAATCCAAATAAAATTGCTGGATGTGGCGAGCAAGCTGGTAATCCCAATATTTGGGAGGCAGACCCAGGAGGATGTCCGGGGCTTACAGACTAGCCAGTCTAGCCATGGTGAGCTCCATACCAATGATAGACCCAGCCTCAAAGATGGGTATCAATATTTGTGAAGACTATCCCCTTACCACCACACACATGCACACATGTGTGATCATACCCGCACATAAAAAAAATGCATGGACACACATACACACACAACACATGTATTACAAAATAAATGTTTTTTTTTTCCTCTAATTTCTTTCCTGACTTAGCATGAATTCGAAAGAGTCCCTCCAATTGGCTGGTCTGTATGAGTTTTTATTTCAGGAAATTTTGTTTTATTGTATTGTTGTAGTTCACTGTACATAGATTATTATAACCATGTATATACAGAAAACACCAAAAAAAAAGGAAACAACACTGCACATGCTTTACTACATGTGTGTGACCAAGTGTTTTCTCTTTCGTTGGACAGCCCATGCAGAGAGAATCTGAATCAAGTTGTGATCATAGTTTTGATGGAACTTGGCATTCTCTTTTCTTCCCCTAAAATCTGCCATAGGCATCTTTTCTTTTTGTGACACAGCCTTCATAATTGTTGTTTTTTAGAAGCTACATAACACACACATGTGGTGTAGCAAAATCCCTGCACTATTTGCCTTCTGTTGACAGTGGAGGCTGGATATGATTGCTGCTGTTACAGACAGGCCTACTATAAGTCACTCTCGACATATGCTGAGCACTGACGACCATGCAGAAGCAGAGCTCAGCTCAGTAGCTTTGTGCCTTTGGCTTTGAGCTTGCTCCGGACTATTTCCAGAGGACAGAATTTCTGGGCAGAGGCTTCACAGTCACAGTTCCCTAGCCATTTCCCATATCCACAGGGTCTCTACTTAAAATGAGCTGTTGGAAGCCACCTCTAGAGGCAGGTGGTAGTGAGATGGGTCCAAGACACTCCTGCCTTCTACTTTGCTGACAGTAGAAATCACTGATTCTGGCTCTGAGTGGAGCCAGGGAGGGTGGGGCTGAGGAGATGGAGCAGCTGGGTGGGAAGTAGGCCAGGCAGGAGTCACCTGGCTATGAGCTTCCATTTGTTGAGGACAGCTGAGGTGTCCTGATTTTCTGTTCTTATTGCTCTCCACAACCAGCTACATTTGTTTCCTTTCAGAATCTAGACTTTCCATAGCACTTCAGCAACGCTGTCCACCCATCCAAAATGCTATTCGCCCCTCAACTTCTCATCTTTCAACTCTCAGTCAAAACTTACTCAGATCATTATCATGTCAGAATTTCCCACCTGAATTTCTCCACCAGAGCGTATGTGCAAAGTGTAAACCAATGTATTCTTTCAATAGTTTCTTTTCTTCTTTCCCTTTCCTGTCTCCCCTCCAAACTCCGTAAGTACAGCGTTTTCCTGATTGGTTGTTGCTGGCTCTTCCTCTTTGACACAGATTCAATCCCATCTCAGACCCTCAATTAGGTAGATGAATGCAAAACTATCAGCTGAAGAAGCTAAAGAAAAGATTATGAAGGAACAACTATAGTTCATATTTCAGATCAGAGCTTGGGAAACTCAAGTTGAAAGTAGGTGAAGTGGGAAAACAGAAGTCTTTAAAATTACCTGTAATGTCTGCACCTCTGGGAGATGGGATGGGATTCTAATATTTAGCTTTAGATAAAAATCCCCCTTTTATTATGTACTATTGGAAATATTGGGATAGCCTTACATTCTCTCTCTCTCTCTCTATCTCTCTCTCTCTCTCTGTGTCTGTGTGTGTGTGTGTGTGTGTCTGTGTGTCTGTCTCTGTGTGTGTGTGTCTGTGTGTGTGTGTGTGTGGAGGAGCCAGAGGTTGACACTGAATATCTTCTTCAATCATTCATTCTACATCTTAAGTTTTAGACAGGGTCTTTGTATTGTAGCCCTGGCTAGACTCGAACTTACTATGTAGACCAGGCTAATCTTGAAATCACAGAGCCAGTCCCTGCCTCCCAAGGTGTGCACCACCATGTCTAACTTTACCTTAGTTTTTGAGACTGGGTCTCTCATTAAGCTTTGAGATATATTTGGCTAGACTGGCTGGCCGTCAAGCCCCAGGGATTCTCATGTCTTTGCCTCCCTAGTGTTGAGATTGCAAGTATGTGCTACTGTTCTTGGCTCTTACTGGGTTTGGAGGATTGAATTCAGGTCCATACAATTGCATAGCAATCACTTTAATGAGTGAGCTCCAGACTGACAAATTTTAAAATCCACCCATCAGAAAAACTTCCTTTCTACAAAAATGCCCCACTTAATAAAAACCCCAATCTTGTCCAAATTTCTGCTTGAACAGCCCAGCTTTGTAGGTAGATGTTTGTCCCTTTTAATCTTAATTTGTGACTCAGAAAAAAATGTTCCTTTATCATGGCTCTGGCTGGGTGACTAATTACTTTTGGGCTTTATAATTTAGTGTTAGACTATGAAAAGAGAAAAATAACAGCTCTTGGCCACCACTGGTTCCTCCTGCAGTTCTCAGTTGAAAACAATGAGACTGAGTTCACCCTGGGC